CGGGGCTGCCGACAAAGGGCTTTGATGTCGGCAGGGGAGCGTCCAGACTAGCGCGCCGAGCGGACAAACAGCTGATCAGCTGTTTGTCGGCTCAGCGCGGCAGCCATGTAAATTTAAATGAAGCGGCGATTATTTAAATCACGGCTTCATTTCCCTTTGCCTATAACCCTCATCTACATGGCTCCGTCGATGGAGCCATGTAGTCTAGACACAGCCTAGGAGAGAAACCTGCTTAGGCAGATTATAACTTGCTGAAATTAAGTTTTAGTCAGAGAAGTGCAATTTTACTTGTGATTCAGTGATTTGCCTGGTCTGTGACTAAGCAGGGCCTGGAGTTCCAGTCACAACCTTAAACATAACACCAGCCTTCTCGGTCCTAACCCATGATGCGGAGAGGAAGAACGATTTCCCCCACTGGATGTTTAAACTGAAGGCCACTCTCTGCTCTCAGCTAAACCCATTTACATCCAGGCTAATTCCATCCCTCTTGTCTTACACAGATGTAAGTGAGAGTAGATTTTAAGGGTGGTGATGCTGAAATGCTCTTCTCGTTGATCTATGCCAAAATGAGTCAAGATTTAATTACATTATTAGTTCTGCTCCTGGGGTACTTGGTTTTTTAATGCTACATTTTTGAGGGAAATGTGAGAGTTTTGTTAGCTTGAGAATGTTTACAAACATGAAGCTCTTTAAAAATTATTTTAGCTAGTTACTGGTAAGGCTAATCTAAGTAATGATAGTAAGAAACTAAGGGTGTGTCTAGACTGCAGGAGTTTTTTTTGGAAAAACGATGGTTTTTCCAAAAAAACTTCACTTACATCCATACTGATATTGTGTTTTTTTGAAAGAAAATCAAAAGAATGCAGGGGTTTTTCCGACATTGGTAAACCTCATTCTACAAGGAAGAAGCCTTTTTCTGAAAGAGCTATTTCGAAAAAAGATGTGTGTACACGCAGAAGAGGGAGTTTTTTCGAAAGAAGAGGCCTCCAGGAAAAAGCACAGGTGCCCTGGTGGCCACTCCGTCCATAGTAATCACAGCTATGTGGACACTCTCTTTCGGAAGAAATTTTTTCAGAAGATCTCTTCCGACCAAAGCTTCTTTTGAAAAAAGCCTGCAAGAAGATCTCTTCCGACAAAAGCTTCTTTTGAAAAAAGCCCACGGTTTAGACATACCCTTAGTCAGTTCATATAGCGACATATTTAATCCTTCCTGACATCTTGATGATGATGTTTCACCATGGTCCTCAGATATTCTGGGCAAAGTCAATACTTTGAAAAGTACTGCTAGTGAGGCATGTACTGAAGTACCTTGCTGAACTGGGAGCTAAACAATTTAAATGATTAGTCACTCCTAGGTACTTGTGCAAGAGTCGAAACATAGACGAGGAAACATCTCAAACACCCTGCTAAGTGTAACTCCAATAGGATTTCAACATTGGTTTTGTACCCAAAACACATGTCAGTGTAACTCCAATAGGATTTCAACATTGGTTTTGTACCCGAAACAAGTAAGTCCTCAGGGTGGGTAAATATTCATGTCTTCCCAACCATCATGCCAGTTACCACTCAGCAGAAGCAACGGACAGAAAGGACTGGAGTATTCAACTACCGTCTTACTCCTAGCTGTCCTGTCTTCAGAGCACAGATAGGATGCACGCAGGTAAATGGAAGCCAGCAGCATTTTGCTGTTGGTGCCAGTTCATCTTCCGGGATGGCCAGGGAGGGTGACCCTCGTCTCTGTTTGTCAGAGGCTGGGAATGGAAAATGGGATGGATCACTCAATAATTGCCTGTTCCTTTCATTCCCTCTGAAGCACCTGGCACTGGCTACTGTTGGAGGACAGGACACTGGGCTAGATGGACCTTTGGTCTGACCCAGTCGAGCTGTTCTTACGTTTTTTTCTAGCACCGCCAGTTAAGTACCTTCCTCAAATCCATTGAAGAGCCTCCCATTGATGTCCACAAGAGCTGGACTAGCACTCAAATTCACTGAGAGTCAATTTCCATGGATGACAACAATATTCATTAATGGATTGTCTTCATGAGGATTCTGCCTTTCTTAATTAGATTCCTTTGTATAGTGTCAGGGCAGCATCTAGCAGAGCTTTCTGTAATTAGAGACAAGGAGAGAACATGGATCAGTTTTACTCTGTAAAGTATATGAAATTCTTACTACAATACGGTTAGCCCTGGATATTCTGTTGTTTAGAGTTTTTTTAAGCTGGTTATTTTGGAATCAAAGAACAAACAAGATCTACAGAATATTGTGCCTTTTAGATAATGAACCTGCTGAAAGCTATCAAGTCCTGCCAACATACTCAAACCAATTACTGATAAAGCTACTATGAAGCCGTGTGGATTAGTGAAAACTTGGAGAAACCTGCTTGGCACTCTAATTCTCCCTCTTTTTCTCTTTCCAGACTTGCCAAGCAAATGAATCCACCGAGGTGCAATTAAAAGCAATTGAAAAAGCTTCAAGGGGGAAAAAAAAAAGCACTTAAATCTGCTGTTTTAAAAGTCACCCCTCCTTCCCCATCCTGATGGGTCTCACTCTCTGATAAACAACTGAATCCACTGTAGCAATATCAGTAGGTTTCAGACATGTATTTCATTGGAAAGTTCAAGAGATAAATGAATTCACAAGATTTTCCATGCCAGCCGAAAAGTGCTCCTTCACAAGTTCAAGAAAGATGTGGAGAAATTGAGAAGGTCCAGAAAAGAGCAACAAAAATGATTACAGGTCTAGAAAACATGACCTATGAGGGAAGACTGAAAGAACTGGACTTGTTTAGTTTAGAAAAGAGAAGACTGAGAGGGCATATGATAGTAGTTTTCAAGTACAGGAAGACCCCAACTTGCGATTGGTTCCAGGGGAAGCGTCGCAAGTCGGGGGCATCATAACTCGAACCCTCATTTACGATAGGTGCCATGTACCGTTATAAATGTAGGCCAAGGATGTAAGTCAGAGGTTTTTGGCCCCTTTTGCACTTACAAAAATGGTTGTAAGTTTTGGAGGCCGGAACTCAGGAGGTCGCAAGTCGGGGGCCTCCTGTATCTAAAAGGGTGTTATAAGGAGGAGGGAGAAAAATTGTTCTCCTTGGCCTCTGATGATAGGACAAGACGCAATGGGCTTAAATTGCAGCAAGGGGGGTTTAGGTTGGACATTAGGAAAAACTTCCTACCTGTCAGGGTGGTTAAACACTGGAATAAATTGCTTGGGGGGTTGTGGAATCTCTGTCACTGGAGATATTGAAGAGCAGGTTGGACAGACCCTGTCAGGGATGGTCAGGACGGTGCTGGGTCCTGCCATGAGGGCAGGGGGCTGGACTCGATGGCTCGCGGAG